ATAAATTATAATATTTGATATAATTTGTACTTTTAAAACTAAAAAATTCTTCTCACAAACTATACTAAACAAACTCACAATCAGTGTAAGAACTTCTCTTAACGTATAAAACAGTAATAATTAAGTTTTTAATGTTTAAGGATCAAATTTTTAATATTTAAATAAATATTTTTTTATTTACTCAAAATTTATAATATTAAATATATTTATTTATTTAATAATATATAAAAATAGTATAAAAAACATAAAAACCATTTGTACCATTCCAAACCCACCATTGCTGAAAGATACCTCCGGCAGTCATCTATACCCACCACCGATCAAACTCCACTAAAGTTGTTCCTCACGGCTGGCCAAGTGGTTTGTCACTTGTCCGGAAACTTCCCCTTAGGTTGGATGTTCGATTCTCCGGAATTCCCTTCTCCATCACCCCCATAGTATGGTAGTAGGTGTCTTTGTAAACTTAAAACTGTTTTGCAGACGGATTATATTCGGTTCGCATTATAAAATTAAACAATTTTTTTGAACAATTTTCCAAATGAAACATCTGTTTTACAGTAGGATTGATATATAATTTATTTAAATAATTTTACAAAATAAACTATATAAATCCCACTGTAAAACAGATGTTTCATTTGGAAAATTGTTCAAAAAAATCTCCACTAAAGTCAGGTCCACAGATCACACTCACTGTCATTATAAGCACCACTGCGCCATGCCCATCGCATCTCCCTCTCTCCATTTATCCACCCGGCTCCGCACTCTGCTTTCTTTCTTCTAGATTCCATCGCACTCCGTACTACGCTTCGTTATTCTCAAGGCCGGTGGCGTTGAAAGCCCTCGCAAGCTCGGCGGATTTCAGAGGGGCTTCTGTTGTCGGCGCGAAATCAGGGGGGGGGATTGGGTGGAGAACGAAGGCGGCGGTCGCAGACACAGGGATGGCGACAGAAAAAGGTGAAGGGAAGAAGGTGAGCGTGTTTGATTCAGAGGAGGATCTGGCGGTGGCCCTCGCGAAATACATCGCTGATCTATCTGATAAGGTCTCCAAAACGAAGAGCTCGTTTACTGTCGTCTTGTCCGGTGGTTGTCTCATCAAATTACTCAGGTCAAAATCTTTACCTTCTTTTTCTTTTTCCTTTTATTCTTAACTTCCAGTTTCATTTCCCACCTTTTATTAAAGTTTTCGTTTCCCCTTTTATAAAAATAGATGCTTGGCACCTTGGTAGTAATGATACGTTTGGTTGCAGAGAAAAGAACGAATGCAGGAATTTAAATTGTTGTAGTATAGTAGCTTTTTAAGTGAAATCTCAGGACTCAGTGCCATGAAATTTGGGTTTAATAAGGTTTAGTCTTTTGATTTTTTATTTTTTTTTCTTCTCATTTCTTAACAAAGTCAAGCCTAGTAATTGTTTAAAATACCAATTTGGTCATTTAATTTTCAGATTTGTGCCAAAATTGTCTCTGAACTTTAGGAAGTACCAAAATTGTCTCTAAACTTTAGTTTTATTCCCAAAATAGTCCTCAAACTTTGAAGATAATACCAATATAATGCTTAAACTCTGAAGACAAGTTCCAGTTTACTCCTTGAACTTTGATTACAAATACCAATTTGGTTTTTCAACTTTGATTATATATAAATTTGATTGTAAATAAAAATATGTCATGATAGCAGAATATGACTAATTTTACAAGTCATTAGTATTTTAAAAAAGCATTGATCTTGTGGCAAAATAACCAGTTATGTGATATTTTTATTAACAGAAGGACTTTCTTCATATTAAAAATTAAAGTTTAGGAATAATTTTGGTATTTTTTGAAGTTGAGGGACAAATTTGATACAAATCTGAAAGTTGAGGGATCAAATTGGTATTTTAACCTTAATAATTTATCCCCAAAGTGTATGAGCTTAAAACTCTAAGTTGAAGATCTTGAGTTCAAATGTTAAGATAGGTGGGGAGGGATGAAGGAAGCAGAGGGCTAGCCCTATTATCTAGCCC